ACATGGCCGAAAAGGTGCAGTCCACATGTGGACTGCATGGTCGTCAATGGGTTAAAGTTATCCCTCTTTCATCATGTTCAATTGTTCCCCTCGTCATGCTTTGATGAAGCCTCGAGATTGTTTCCGTTTTCGGAAATATCAGCACCTCAACCCCCTTGACATCGTTTTTCAGCTATTTCTCGTTACCGATTGCCTGCGGTTAGCGAAAAGTTCCCATTTTGCTGTCATGAGAATGTAGTCCACCTCCTCCGTCGTATCGCGGCAGTACATAGTCCCCCAAGCCCTCAGGTTATCCGAGCCGAAATGACAATTTGTATCTAATGAACGCTGGTAATTTTTGATACTTTGATACTTTGATGGACTATCGGCAGAAGGGTCGAATGTGCCATGTATTGTAGCGGGCCTCTCAAACGCGGGTCCGACGAGAAAACACCAAGTGGAAACAGATTGTATGAGATATCGTTTTCAGCAGTTGATGCTCGGCTGCTTGCCTCGGCTGCTCCCATTAACTTGGTTCTCCTATACTTCTGAAGAGATTCTTCGACAGCCATACAGCGAGCTTTGTTGACGAGAACTTTTCCCAGGTGGTAGGATTCTGTATGAGTGCTCTCCTTTTTTTACGGCAGGACATTCAACCTCGGAATCCGGGCTGGCTGCGAACGACGGGGAATGTTTGCACCCTTAAGCAAGCCTCCTGTTAGGTATCAGTTTTCTGTGAGATCCTCTAACAGTCGCCAATTGTAAGCTGCAATGGCAGATTCGTGTAGCTCTGTATAAAGTAGGGGTCTTGAAGTGCGTGGGGCTGTGCGTGTCACGCTTGAGTATTCGCCTGTTCAGTCGTATTTTTGCGCGCATCATGGCTTGAGCCGATTTCAAAAAGGACAACACGGACACATCAAGGAAACTCCAGCGTAGATTAATGAGAACGTGATCTAATTCCGTATGCGTTCGGCCCTTTGAGCTCTTCCAAGTCGACGCTCATAGGAGGTTCGGAAGTTCTCCGTTTTCGGTCATGTCGCCAGAGCCACGAGGTCCTACAATCTCAATTGCGGTTCATGCCCACTACGACGTTGAACTCGCCAACGACATATTTATATTAGATCTTGTCTTCTTTAATCATCTTCTCCAGACGTCTGTAAAACTACTCTCGCTCTTTCCCTGCCGCCACATAGGTAGGTGCATACACATTATTTATAGAAAATGCAACTTGTCCTTTTTGCGAAGACGAAGAAAGGCGAGACGCGGTCTGACGATTGTATGCGAGTCTACTAGGTGAGCGATGGCCGAATTGATCAGAAATCCAACTCCGCCAACGTTACCCTCCACTTTGGGTCCGTTGACGAGCAGCTCGTTGTGATTTGTTTTTCGGATAATTTCCGTTCTGTCTTTCCTCTCTTGTAATGCGATGACATCATATTTAACCAGCCGGCTACTCAGCAGGAGAGAGCGAAGGCTCACTTCTGATGCTACAGTGCGGCAGTTATACGAGCAGAAGAAAAGGCAGTCCAGATGTCGCGATTGGTGGAGATTTCCGGAGTTCCGGTTCCGATGACGTCCCGGTTTCCATGCGAGGTCATAGGGCCCCTCATCAGTAGGTGTTACCCCGAGCGATAGGAAAGCATATCTGATGCGCGCAGGACTGGAGTGCACTTATAGCTGTTCAGCGATTTGCTTGTGCTCGGTTGCTCCTGGTTACTACCCTGTTCCTCGCCTTGGATACAAAGAAGCCGCAGAAGAAGTCCATACGACATGCAACGTACTGTACTGCGTGACCATTTGTACCGTTGACCACCATTTGTTATGATGTCACCCTATCACCGCGGTGAGGTGATAGGGTACAATAGAATGACTCTTGAGTACAGTACTTCAGCCCGCAGAGGCAAGCTCACCCGCGAGTGGTGCCGACTCTAACTGCCCGACTTCATTAGCAGAGAGGAATGACCATCCTGCTTTCCAGATCTTGACTCAGTTGACTCTTCCGTATGGTCCCTGATTAGAATAGGACCTGTTGAGTTTGTAATCCCAGTTTGGAGTCCTAGAAAGCATGAATGGAGAACGGCTGGGAAGAATGTGCGGAGGATACCTGCGTGGAATATGCAAGGAGTCCGAGTACAAACTTTGTTACTGTACCTGCGCTCCTAGGGGATATTTTGAAATGCGATTGTGGCATGTTGTGTTGAATACATAATGTTGACAAGCGTGCTAACATTATGTACTCAACACATACATTGCCATGAATTGGTGCACATAATTTTGAGACACCCTGTACAATAAGGAGCTGGCTACTAGACTCGGTATCCATCAAGCAATCATGACCCAACTACCAAAACGTCAGAGCCATTGTTTTCATTAAATGCCTCTCACTCTATTGCCCAGTCATCGGGCGGAACAGCTATCATCCGATAGCTGTTCCGCCCGCATTTGACTGCTGGAATGGAAAGTGAACCGATCTTTCGTTCTTCGGTGATATATTCACTTCAGCTCTGATCTAGAGCCTTTGGTTTTCGTACGTCGTAGTCCTTTTAACACAACTATTGGTAAAAAAGGAAAACGGTAAAAAACTAGCATATAAACCACCAGTCTGGTCATCCGAATACGCCGCGCTCATTCCCCACGTTTACAGATTATTTAGAAAATCTATCTAGGGTACCGCTTTGATCCAAAAATGAAGGTGAGAGAAGCATAAGTTAGCTTTGTTTCTGCTTAGAAACAGTAGTTTCCGAGAACTCATTGCGTTTCCGAGCTCATGTATGGGCTTACCTTCTTAACTGCGCTCTAGCGTTCAATGCTGAACAAAAGGCAAGGCCTCTCCCGATTTTTGTACAGACATACATAGCACGATACCTGTACAAATCGGAATCACAGCTTTGAAATATTCGCTTAACATTTCTCACTTCACTCCGCGGTGCTTACTCTACTCCATTTTTAAGGACTAGTCTTGCCCTAGTATCGAGGATAGCCGCTCAACTTTCATCACAAAGTCAGAGTATATTTCGAGTAGTCATTATTCTTGCTAACATCACGGTCACACGACAAGATACCACCACTTTATTGCGCCGTAGGAATCGCAGGCCTCAAACTTGGGTGGTTGAACCCAGTTACTACAAATAGAAACGATGAAATTAAATTAAAGGGGAAGTAATATATAGTGGAACAAAGGCAAAGTTGGGACTGCGACTGGCGAGCCGGTTCGATTCTGACGTCCCTTGTATTGAAGAATGACAGTCGCTGTTCATGACCGGCTGCCAAGGCCCTTTTGTATGGTGTTTTCGCAAACATTCCAAGGAAGAGCACATCTGAACGGGCCTGTTCTTCCGATTGCATGCAACCTTTTCTGTGTCAAAGAAGGTCACAGATGGTTTATGATAAGAGGGATAAGAGCTACATAAATGTATACATATACACTTTTTCTCGTCTTACCGAAGTATCGCAACTCGCGGCTTGCCGCGATATTCGCTTCCTCAGCACGCTTCGTCCAGCTCGTGCACCCTTTTCTGGAATGGTGCCCAGTCTGGTTGCAGTAAAAGCACCTCGTGTAAAGATTACGGCATCGTCGTCCTCTGGGACAGCTGTAGTAGGAGCACATTGGGCATAGCTGTGCTCGATCCACGATTCCCCCTCGTTCTTTTGTGAAAATGTACTTTGTGCACTGTACATATGCATGAGTTGGAGTAGTGGTCCCTTCGAGGCCCGCAGAAAATGCATGGCATGAACCGCTCGTGATGGCTTTGGATTGTGCCGTCGAATGTTCGTACTGACATCGTTTTCTGCTTTCCACTTCGTCTATCATCCTTCGAAAATCACGTACGACTTGTCTTGCCTGTTGTAGCTGCTATAGCAGTTCGGCTGTCTCGTCGCATGCTTACCGGACAGCCGAACTGCCGGAACTCCAACAGCCTGCGTATCGTTACGGATTTCGGGTTCTTCTTCTTTTTTGGAACCATTCCCATGTTCATTGGGACGGATTTCACGTTCTGTTTCGGGGTTATTCCTCTCTGCCTGAGTCCTTACTTCAACGCCATCTTTGCTGTCTTTCCCTGTTCTTCCTGAATAGCGTCTGTGCCGCACTTGTTATCCGTCTATGCGTCCTCGTCGACGCTCACGAGGTCTCCATCTTAACCCCATTGTCAAAGTCATTCAGCAGCTATAAAAATTGCACTTTATGCCAGATCATTTTGGTTTCTTCTTCCTTGTTGCCTGTCAGTTGTTCTGATGACTGCGAAGCCGCGGAATGAGTAATGAAGTCAGTGATGAGATTTCGCAGTGACTCCAGCTGCCAGTAGCTGGTCACAGAACTGGCAGCTGGAGTCACTGCGCTGGAGCTGGCGGTCCTCCTGACGATTCTCATGTTTGAGCGTCTCGCCATACTCTCGTAGATTAGCGGATGATCCCTCAGTATGTTTACATTGTCGAGTATCGCCCGTTATAGCTGAGTGTAGATGACCAGTAGCGGGATTCCGTCATCGTTCATTTGTTGCATAATGACCGTCATCCTCCATACTTCCAGTTCCATCATATGCATTACGATTAGCAGGTTTGGTAGAGCCCAGAGAGTAGCGAGTTGTGATCGTTCAAAAAGAAGCTCGAACCTGAGCCATTCGACCGTCTCTACTAACACTCGACATAGAGTTCCTGCCATGATCCTCGTGAGGCCTTTAGCGAGCGCTCCAGTTACTCTCCATAACTCATAATAAACTTTCTGCCCTCCATAGAGTAACTGACGAGTCCCTCATTAACAACCTACTAAGTTGTAACGAAGGATAAATTGGAATCTGTCATTTACAAGCCTCAGGACGGATATGATGCGAAAACTTTTCCCTGAAGTTGCTCCATAGTCATCGTTGTTGTTTCAGCCCGATACAGAACTCATTTCATTTCTCTCTGCTATTTAATGACGTCTCCTCAAGCAGCTACGTCAGCGACAAAAAGCATAGAAGGCACCGATCTACGCTTGTGTTTGCACTGAAGTGGGCGGGAATGTTGGAAATGAGATCACTCCAATGCGAAGACGTGTTTGCCTGGTTCACCCTGAAATTAAACGCCGGTCTGCACAAGTGCAAGTTAACGAACTCTTCTCGACGGCAGCTGCACGTCGACTTCGAGCCCAATACGGCGGCAGTAACGGCAGCGGCAGTAGCCTCACCCAGGAGGCCGACATCGTCACTTTCGAAATCAAGGACGATGGTAAGTTGGACATGATGTTCGGTTACACATTGCACTAGGATGTTTGAGCTGACCATCTTGTTCCTTGCTAGCAAAAGCATAGATGATCGTTCTTCTTCAATTATTTGGAACGTCTAATTCCGAAAACAGATTTCGTGCAGTAGCGACATTGTGCACAGATTCATGGTCGTATAGGTAGAGTTGTAAATTTCCCCTGGTTGGAACTCCGCAACTATACAAATCCTTCCAATTCACCGGATCTCTATTTCTGCATACGGTCAAAAGGTTGCTGGATTGAGCTGTGGAGGAAAAGGTATTTTCTAGAAATATAACTCGAGTATAACCTCCGAAATGCTACACCTGTCACGATTGGGAGTACCGTGAGCGTTTACGTTGCATACATTGCATATACAGTAGCGCTCAAAAGTCTTCGGTGAAATGATCCTTCAGTCGTACTTTTCAGTCGTAACTCATTTCCTACTGGATCTAATCATGCAAAATTTCTTTATGTGAAGCGTGGGTGTACTGTGAATAATTGCCACTGTTAACCTGTAATCCAATCAGGTTCCAGATATTCCAAAGAGCATGAACTCAAAATCGACTGAAAATACAGATGATGGTCCTTGTAGAATCTCTTTCTTTTTTGTCATGTCCAAAGTGAACGAGCGGTAATGCCGAACACAATAGAAGAGATAAACGCACATAGGGTGCGAATAAGTGCAGACGTCAACAACTTTAGTTTTAGCAAAGTGTGCTACCGCAACAAACACCTTACTCTACCTGTGGATATTGCAGCTTTGCAGTCAAATAGTGTAGGGTAGGGTGAAATATGCTCTAGTTAAACATATCCAAATTTCGCGCGATTTGGTTCACTAAGAGAAAAGTTATGAACGAAAAAGCGTCAAAGCATTTCACCGAAGACTACTGTACTACTAGACTTTTGAGCGCTACTGTATATACGAGCAANCTAACTTTCCTACAAGCTCTTCTCCTTTGAGAAGACGACTCGAAATGAGTTTCTTAGAGTGGCCATGGGGGGAAACTTTGCAAANAATAGTGTAGGGTAGGGTGAAATATGCTCTAGTTAAACATATCCAAATTTCGCGCGATTTGGTTCACTAAGAGAAAAGTTATGAACGAAAAAGCGTCAAAGCATTTCACCGAAGACTACTGTACTACTAGACTTTTGAGCGCTACTGTATATACGAGCAATTCGTTTTTCGTTTTCCTCCACGGTACCAGGTTTACGAAGTGTCATATAGAGGACGCAGGACAAGCCGAAGCTGATTGAACGGTCCAGCCTTCTAAGAAACCCAGTTAGCATGTCACTGTGCATGGATCCTTCCCACACGGGACAGTTTTTGGTGACCAGATTCCATGACGTGATGGGAGATTTGATGGTGTAACTTAAGCCCGTATGAGAATTTGAAGGATATTTCTAATCATGTCAATCCGAGCCTCAGCATGAGCTATATTCTAGGAGCAGTCAGACACGGAGGAAGATTCTATCCTCGATAAGCAACAGACGTCTAGTGAACCCCTTGCCTTAGTCAGCGTGGTCTTCGACTTCGCAAGTCATGCTGACTACGATACTGCAAGACTATGGCGAAACTGATCAGCTGATCCAGGAGATTAGTTCGTATAAAAGATAGAACCGTCCTGACTTGAGTACTCTAAACTGTCCGATTGTATGACCCGTGCTCTAATTCACAATATCACATTTGTCGATTCGATAACGTTCGGTACAGTACTCTTACTTCTTTTCACATTGGAATTTTATCTTCAGATTCTGTTCAACCACCTATTTGCGTTAGGGTTCGCATGAGCTTCCCCAGACGAAGCGATGCCTAAGCACATGTAATGAATAGCCTGTAATTTATGCTTATTATATTATACTTTACAAGCATAGACGAATCACAACTAAGTTGTCCAGCGCAATAGCCCAAACATCAGCTTTTAACAGACTACGATCCACGAAATCGAGAATCGTCTGATGTTGGGTTCTGAATTTCAACGCTAACAAACTTAAATCTTCAGAATTTGAATGAACAAGTGAATCATAGATAACATAATGCAAAAGTTTGTATATAATATCTAGAAAATGTGCGTATATATTAAAATATTGAAGGTGTCTCTGTGAGAAGAGATGGTGTAGATGGGCAAGTATCACACTATCACACGTGCATGGTCACGGGTTCGAATCCTGGATCAACATCCGCCTAGGCCAATCGAGCCTTACATTCCTCCGGGTTCGACTATCTGGTACCACACCCTTTTGTGAGGGTAAAAGAGCTGGCTTGTATATGAGTTTGCCAGCCCGAGTTTTTTTCAAGTATGGCTCTGAATGGAGTCGAAAGTGAACGCGCATCCTAAGAGCGGAATCGCCATCCCAAAACAAACTTATCCTTCATCCCCCATAGTAAGCGACACAAATATGGAACGTGCACAAGGTATGCCGTAGTTCAGCCATTTCAATCTGCATTGTTAAGAAAAAGGTGTTTATTTTCGGAAGTGCTGTAAGAATTGGTTTTCGATTCGATTTGTGGCTTTTAGTCTGTAGAAGTAGCCGTGATTTTCTCTGAGGGAACCAAAAATAAGTCCGCTTTGCTTCTCTCAAGGTGGTTGCGGGGCCAACCCATAAGTGAAACAACGCGGACAGCTCAAGAAAATTTCATTGGTAGTCGAGATTGGATAATTCTTCAAGCTGTTCCTCCATTGCTGTAGGCTCTCCCCCACTCGTAGGCATAACCTGTCGGGAGAAGGCCAAGCCTGTTTTGGGTGGTCTGGAATTCCAGAAGAGTCACTTTTCGCAACAGATCGTTTTCTTCGCCATCTGGGCAGCATCCTTCAACAATTGCACCTTCCGCATTAGCTCAAACTCACGGTTATACCAGCAGTGATAGTCACTGAGACTGATTGCAGATTAGACGGTAGGGGAAACTCAACTGGTAGGTTGGTAGGCGAGTCAGCTAGGTTCAATATCGTTCTGGGTTCATGACTGTATGACTACTTTTTTTGTTCTCAGGAAATCGGTTATCTTCCATCTCATCTTTGAACTCGACGAGAATATGCCCTAGCTCTGTCAGGCACCTTCGAAGAATGCCCTCAGCCCTCAGGGGTTACTGTGCCTTTTATCTTTACCTTTTTATATTGTTTACTGATTTTGCAATCGTTTATTTGCATGTGGAGATAGAGAGGACTAGGAAGAAAGTTTGCAAAGGAAGGAAACCCCAAAGAACTGACCAAACCAATCTCCAATTTCACTTAACGCAAATTGGAAAACGTCTTCGTTGCACCACTAAAGTTTTATTAAGTCATAAAAACAATCAGTTCAATTGACATGATTAAGTCATCGGCATTATGTAATTGTTTCGGAGAGAGTGTAATGGACCTTTGGTGTAGGATGAGACGACCTTGAGGGTCAGAACCTCTCCTATTAGCTAACTTTCCTACAAGCTCTTCTCCTTTGAGAAGACGATTCGAAATGAGTTTCTTAAAGTGGCCATGGGGGGAAACTTTGCAAATCGGAAACTATGCTCTATTTCAACATTTAGAGTTTGTCAACATTTTTTCTTATTTTCTCAGAATCGAGCTCTCAGATTTTGCTTTTTTCTTCAAGGAATGCAACAGAAGATCCATTCTTTGAAAGAAAACGGCCGTGCTTGCACCCACTATCTAGGTTTGGATATCTGGATGGAAATCAGTGGAATCCGGACAGCTAATTCGCCTTTTGTAAAGAACATATTAAGATGACAATTTCAGTGCTCAAAAAATCAATCACACACTGATTAGCCTTTTCACATTCTGAAACGGACTGAAAACGCACTCAATTTCAAAGAATTTCAATTGATTTGTGGAACGTATGGCTCGGATACAAAGGAGTTTGAAAAAGGGAAAGCAAATTAGACATTTGTCAGGGAAAGGTTGGGATCTATAACAGAAGTGGGTTCAGATACGAAATTATGTTAAAAGCTCAAAAGACCTCGAAAGGATAACCTGATAGAAATAGACGAGAACTTTCAAATGGTTTCCTTATCTGAGTCGTTGGACCAATCGGATGAGCCTGCTAAGGCTGCGCATTCCCCCCTTTGTAACAGAGCTATCATAATCGGCTACCACTCTTGCTTTGAAATGAATTATGCTTTTCTGAACACGAAATTCGACAGACGACTAACAGGGCAGCGCAAGGGGTATTCAGTATGTTCCGATACTTATGCCTATGACTAGAAATCTTGATCTGTTGTTCATCATCTTGAGAATAATTATCCTTCTAGTGTCTTACCCCTTTAGGTTATCGGTTCCAACCTACCTCAATTCAGCCACCACCAAAGTGCCAAGACACAGGGCATTATCAGCCGCCATCACTTGTTATCAGTTCCTGTCATCGAGTACCTCGATCCCATTCATCACCAATGTGTCCATTGAAATGACATGGTTCCATGGCTGACGCAAAGGGCGATACAGACCTAATGACTATCGCCTTCTATGACTCTTAATCAGTCCTTACTGCTTGCTTTGAGCCCTTGTCGCCAATTTTCTACTTTCCTTCACATCCCACACCTCCCATCAAGGTGCCAACACTACATTATTTTATCAATATGAAGGGGGTGTCGAATCCTGTGGCTCTTACCTTCCAATACTCCTTATCAGTTGCTACCACTTGGCATCACTTCCTATCACTTACCATCAGTCTTCTCATCCCGCAGCCTGTATCCCTTTGAAATTCGAACGCTCGAGGTCCAGGGATGTAAGACCCATGAATATCAGGTCGTGCAAACACATTACACACCAATTGACATACNTCAAAAAACCTCGAAAGGATAACCTGATAGAAATAGACGAGAACTTTCAAATGGTTTCCTTATCTGAGTCGTTGGACCAA